AGGATTTTGATGAGCTAGTTTTTATGGTAAACTGGATTTTGGCTCTATTACCATGTTGGAAGGGAGGGTTTGAAGATCCAATGGTGGCTCATAGGCTTCACCTGTTTGCATTGTGGACGCATAAATTTAAGCTCAAGTCAAGACAGATTAGGGCAATCTTGTATAGAATATTCTTTATAGTATCTTCTTGGTGTTGTTGTTTGTTGTTGTTATTGTTGTTGTTGTATCTTCTTGGTGTTCTCATTAGAATATACGTCTTGGTCTTTGTAGTGGATATAAGATCCTTGTTGTTACAATAATACTCTATTACTCCCTAGAATGATATTTTATAGGCTGGAATGTTGGATGGTAGATGGTAACTGTCCAACTGATAGACTATCATCATACACCAGCAGCAATTTCAATTCTGAGACCATTAAATTTGTTGTCAATAGGAAGAAGTTAGCTAGAAGGCTCTTATTTGATAAGAGTGCTAACGACGAACATGAGAGAAGTATCTTAACAAAGCTGAAGCAGCAATGTGGTGGTCAATTCACATCAAAGATGGAGGGGATGGTAAGCTTGTATAGATTGTTCTGTACACCTACTTGTTTGACATGTCAATATCTTTCAATTGACTTTTCTATGTCCTGTTTTACCTGACCTTCCAGGTGACTGATTTGACATTGGCAAGGGAAAACCAAACTAGTTTTGAGGAGTATCTCAATAATAATCCAGCTGCAAGCCCTGGTATTGACCTGACTGTTACTGTTCTGACTACTGGCTTCTGGCCAAGCTACAAGTCTTTCGATCTTAACCTCCCAGCTGAGATGGTATACTCCTATAGAAGTCTTTAATACCTATTTAATTTATTAGATGAGGCGATTGCTCATTTGATTGTTTTTATTTTGTTTCATTTTTTATTTTAAGGAAAAGTACGGAAAAGGTACTTGTGGTTGGACCCGTTTTCAGATAGAGTCATGTGTTTGAATTCCGTTATCATAACAAGGTCCTGACACCCGACGCTTTTAGAAATCGCTAGAGGAAGACGATGAACAGTAACTACGATTTTCAAAACTACGTGGAAAATTAAAAGAAAAATACCGGAAGGTGCGCCTCAACAAGACGACCATTAGGTCATCTTTCTTTTTTGTTTCCATCCACCCTTGTCACCTGAAAGTCCACCCGAAAAGTGATATTGGCAAATTCATTTTAAAAAAATAATCCAGACAGATTTAAAGGCGAAGGTGGTTTGGAGGTCATCTTGACGAGGCACACTTTTTGGTATTTTTCTTTTAATTTTTTTTTGGGCACTTTTGGAAATCGGAGTTATTATTCATTGTCTTACTCAGACGTTTTTAACGGCGTGACTCTCTTGTGATAACGGAATTCAAACACATGAACCACTTTGATAAAAAATGAAACACATTTGGCCCTATTTGAAAACGGGCCCAACCACAAGTACTTTTTCCGTACTTTTCCCTTTATTTTATCACTTCACCACATGCAAGTTCAATTTTAGCACTCTGCTGTCTATGATTTACGTTACTGCCTGGCTTTATCCCACTTCAGTTATCTTTACTTCCCTTTTACTTTGTCCAAAATTAATGTCTTTTAATATCACAAACTTTTTCCTTTTATCCAATTCACATTTTCTCCCTCTGAAGCTATTGTGTTGATTTGACATTCTGGGGCTCATTTGAGGGACATTTTACTAGAAAATACATCATAGCATCAAACAAATTATTTCTTTTCATTAAAACTTTGCTGAAATCAAATGTCCTTGTGTTTTGGGACGAATGGAATATATGTTTTTCAACAAAAACTTCTCTTCCTTCAGATTTATAGCCTTTCATTTCCAAGAAAAGAGAAGCCTAAACTGACTTGGGAAGAGGGAAACAGAATGAATGATACCCTTGATATCCCCCGATGTCCCATACCTTTGCGAGTTTGTGTGGCTAGATTTGAAACATAAAAAATGTTGAGATTCTTGAGAACAATGAGAAAAATAAAGGAGTAGGTACGGAGTGGGTGTCTATGACTTGCGGCAGGCAAAATGCTCGTTTCTCGAAAATGTAGGATATTAAGCTTTCCGAAGTGTAGGGATAGTTTAGGTTTCAAAGTGAGCAGTGGAGTGAAGTACATGCAGAGTGCTAGAAAGGAAAGTATGGATGAAAAGGGGTCAACCATTGGATGAAAAAGTGTATAAAGCAATTTTGAGTGGGATTGTTATTTCTGCCATTGCACTGTTTTTATCTTTTCCCTATTTTTATTTTTGTGACATAACTTCGACATCGTTTTTTACTGCATTGAACATGTATTTCAGGTTAAATGTGTTGAAGTGTTTAGAGAGTTCTACCAAACAAAAACAAAGCACAGGAAGCTTACATGGATATACTCATTGGGTATTTGTAACATAAGTGGACACTTTGAGCAGAAAACTATAGAGCTGATTGTGACTACTTACCAGGTTCTTAAACAGTGCATACTCTTATTTGACCTCTACAAATGCAAATTATCAGAAGCGTGTGGACAACTAATAGTCTTTTTTTTGTTTTAACTACTTTCAATAGGCTTCAACTCTGCTGCTATTCAATGCATCAAATAGGTTGAGTTATCAAGAAATTGTGGGACAGTTAAACCTTTCAGATGATGATGTTGTTAGACTTCTCCATTCATTGTCATGTGCAAAATATAAGATCCTCACCAAGGAGCCAAGCACCAAGACTATATCCCCTTCAGATGTCTTTGAGTTCAACTCCAAGTTCACAGACAAAATGAGGAGGATAAAAGTAAGAGCCTGTTTGGGATAATATAGTGGTTTCTTATTTAAGCCCTTGATGTTGTTTTCTGAAATAAGCGTTCAATTTCTTTTTCAACCGTTCAGATCACTTTTTTCTATTTTCCAGCCAAATACTTTTTTGGGGAGTTAAAGTACTTTCTTCCATGAAAAACATGCATCCCATAAAAAAAGTCATTCAAATCGCTCTCTAATTCCATATCAAGTTAGTTAGCCTGTTGTGTGTCTATGTGTATTATTGCAATTGGTTGCTAAGAAGTGGTGAAATATGTACTGTGAAAAATGTAGATCCCTCTCCCTCCTGTGGATGAGAAGAAAAAAGTGATTGAAGATGTTGATAAAGACCGAAGATATGCAATCGATGCTTCAATCGTGCGCATTATGAAGAGTAGGAAAGTGTTGGGGTATCAGCAGCTAGTCATGGAATGTGTTGAGCAGTTGGGTCGCATGTTTAAGGTAAACTAATAATCCTAAGTGTCCTGTTTGTTTTTTTACAAAATCTCCCTACGTTGCATCTATCTATTTTCGATGTTTTATTTGAAATTGTACATTTCCAGCCTGATGTGAAAGCAATCAAGAAGAGGATTGAAGATTTGATCACAAGGGACTACCTCGAAAGGGACAAGGAGAACCCTAACATATTTAAATACTTAGCCTAAAATTGAGGATCCATGTTGATTTTTGCTGCTGCTGGAGAGTGAAGAGTGTCCATCCCGCCAAAGAATCGTTCCAAAAAATGCTTGCTGATGGGAACTAACTCTCTTGTGCTCTTGACGATTTCAAAATATTACTTTGTATATTTGAGCACAAGAAAAGGGCAATACTTAATTGTTTGTACTTCACCTTCTTCTGGACAATTGTTGGCCTGTTTCTTCATAGATTTTCCACTTGACTTTCTAGTTGTTGTAATTGTTTCCGAATTTGTTCCTCTCTACCCTATTCCCTGCTGCTGGCCTGCTGGGACCAATATTTGAGCCCAGGGTTATATGTATAGAAGAAGCTTTGTTAACAATGTAGAATTTGTTATATTTCTGTATCATATTGTGAGTCTGTGACTGGGGAGGAGACCATCCGCCTTCCCTATTGCTACTGCCAAACTGAGACTGACCAAAACTAACTCAATAAAGTTATAAAACCGACCAAAATCGAGTCGATGACCACTTTGAGTTCATTTGGAAAATAAATTTTGGCCAGCAAACTGAATGAGTTGCCCACCAAATGGCTCGGTTATTGGGTTTATGATCGTTTTAAAACTGTAACGGTCAATTAATTAACTTGATAAGGTAGAATGAGAGGCCTAAAAATGTTTTTAATCACTACAAACATGTCACATTCTGGTTTACAATTTTAGATTTCTGTAATATTTTTAGCCCAACGATTTATGCTAGTAGAGACCTAGTTAAGGAGCACATATTTCAGGTTTAGGCATTTAGATTTTAGCTGTGGTTATGGTGCATGATGGCGGTGTGCTCTGCCATATCAACGTCTTAGCGTCGGTTTTTTTGGCAAAATAAAATACCACTTGAATGCTTTCTTTTAGAGAATTAGAGTATTTTTACTTGGACTGTAATTTGCTGGTCTGGTTTAATGTGGTTTGTTTAAGTCTGGTTTGGTTTGGTGTGTTTAAGTCTGATCTGAACTGGTCTGGTTTAGTAAACGTCTAGTCTTTGTGTATTTTACAACTATGGAAGTCAAGTCTGATCTGGTGTGGTTTGTTTAGGTCTGGTCTGGAAATGAAAATAGTCCAAGTAAAAACATCGATTACTTTGATGTGTATAAGGGTGACACACTATTTCGTATTTTTATACATCCATGTTCTTTTTTAATTTATTAAGTATTTAGCGCCAGTATTTCAATGCTCATGTTTTTATGGTAATTTTGATTCTAGATAGTGATTATAACAAATTTTTCATCATATTCAATGAAGTCAATAACTCACTATTTTTTGACTTGAGAATATGATGGAATAAAACAAAATAGATCACTAAACTGTCTTCGCTTCTTTGTCATGAGACAACAGTCAGTTTATGCAATTTTTGACGATTTTCATCATGGATCAATAGAAAACAATCTATCAGTGACAGTGCTTTAGTACATGGGTAAGACTCTGTACATCCGATCCCCCTTATCCAAGTGTAGGCGAGATGCTTTGCGACATTGGGGTAATGTTGTTGTTGCATAATGATTATAACAAAAAGGAGTACAACTAATTTGGTGTCATAAAAAGGATCAATTGGCTTATTTAGATGTATCACCGCTATTACCCAAATACATGCATGCATGTGCAACAAATATTTGACTTCAAGTTATAACTTGGACTAGATGTCTAGATTATCGCTGGATCACTGCCATATTAATTTTTAAGTAATTAACACATTTGATCTATTACACATAAATATAAAACTTGATGCTTCATATATGAGACAATTATTTATTTATAATACTTATTATAACGCATATTATTTTTATTAGATACCAAGTGGAGTACATATATGACATGGTAGGACGAGCTAATAAAACATGGCCTACTGGTTACTGCTGTGGGGGCAGAAGGATCTTGGCAAAGTCAAGAGATTTCTTGCCTTGAAGCTTGCTGGTAACATAATGTTTGCTGTAGTCACCATGATTGTAGCTTCGATATTTGGCGGGGTTGCTTTCACTTACCAGTTCCGGCAACGGCGCTAACTCTGTGGCATAGCTTGGTGCATAAAATGTCACTATAGACAGTCTATCCTCTTCTTTGTGTGCCACTGCTCTATGCACCACACTCTTGTATCTTCCATTTGTCAGCACCTATTTGTATACATCATCTCAGACCAATTTATAACCTTTAAAGTACTCTCACAAAATAGATCGAGTTTTACCATTTTAATCCTTCTATTATTATGTCAGTGACATTTTTTGTACTTAACTTTGATTTTTAGTACATAATGCTTCGATTCTTGGTAGAGAGGCATTTGGTTTTTAACTTTGATAAGGCCTGTTTATTTTTCTAACTTCAGAGTCTTTATAGGAAACATGATGCATTTTCAATCAAAGAGACATAAGTAATACTTAGCTTCATCTCTTCCATTTTTTTTGAAGAACATCTCTTCCATAATACTCCGTATATGTTAGACATTTGAAGCGGGTTTTAAGAAAATAAAAAAAATGGTTACCTTACAATTTTAACATTTAAAAAGTAAGAAAAAACTGTTCCACAAAAAATAAAGGTTGAAATGATAAATTGATAGAGAAAATGAGAAATAAAAGTTAAAAGCTTGGGAAAGTTTTTGAAATAGGATTAAACATGTTTTAAAATTCCAAAATAGAACTGCTAAGTTTTTCTTCTCAAAATAAGAGTAACATGAAAATATTTAGTGTCATCTCGTAGTCATTGTTGCCACATGGTTGTAGGACTAAACATTAAACATGACAGTATTACCATCATTAATGATAGACTGATAGTATTTTTCAATCATGACTCTTATTTCGGAAAAAAGATATATGAGTCATATTTTGAAATCCAAAACCCATTTACTCAAGACAATTTTTCTAAAAGCTTCAATTTGAAAACAAGTATTCATATTTCTAAAACAACTCAAAAATGAAAATACATCTTACATAATTGAAGGGAGGACTTATATGAAGTTGTCATCTATGCAACAAAAGTCTAATGTTTTAGCCAAACAAAATTTTCAATGAGAAGAAATTTAAAAAGGGATATCCCGTACGTGTATCATGTATATATATATACCTCGATAGTATCACCAATATTGATAACAAGAGCATTAGGAATGGGGGGGACAGGGAGCCATGCAGTGCCATCTTTAAGAACCTGGAGGCCGGCGGCGCCGAAATCGGGCTGCTGTAAGACGGTAAGGGCACTTCCGTCGGAGTGGGGGCTGAGACCAAGAACCAGGTCAGGCCTCGGGCAGGGCGGGTAGTAGTTCATCCTCACCGCTTGTATAGTACTCTCCCTTTCAATTACTCTGCCCAACCCATCTCTCACTCCCAAACTACTCCCTACGTATTCCATCAATTTCTCGCACACTCCCTTCATCTCTCTTGTGTATGTCACCACCGTTTCACTGCATATACATATACGTGCATGCATGAATTAGGATGCATGAGAGTGACACTGCCCTGTTTGACTTTCACGAAAGTGACACTGTTTGACACTGTTTTTGCATCGTTTTGTTTACTAAAGTGACACTGTTTGAGATGTTTATTTAGGGACGGGGAAGTATAAGATATGAATGTATAAATGTATTGTTAAGTATTTTTGTGGATTGTTAAGAGGTTGTGTGGTTATCAAGAAAAATACGTTTGAGTGGTTGATTTTGAATTGATAAAGTGAGAATGAAGTAAGAACGATTTAGAACACATAAATATTATCAAATTCGTATGAGACAATCTTAGTGGTGCAGACTAAAAAAGAAAGATAAACAATATTAGTGAAATGGAAAGAGTACTAAACTACTACTCTCTCTGGGAGTGGTAACTTTAACTAATCATTTTGAGCAATAATACTCCAGAATAAGGAGTATATATTTTGTGAAGGTTATCATTTTACTTTTTAAAGAGTATTTTTAACGAAAAACAATTCATATCACTTTCATGTTACACATAATTTTATATACAAATATGCATCATTTGTCAAAGTTTAACGTCATTTACCGAAAAAATCAAAGATCACAAAGTTTTAAATTTTAAGGTTCATTGGTTATGTTTTAAAGGATGTGGGAGTACTACCTGAAATGAGGAGGGTTTGGTGGCCAAAGACTGGGAATCCTATTGGCTGGGGGTTCAACAGCAAGAGCAAACATGTTGCACCAGTCCAACTTTTGGTCTTCTGAGGTCACAAAGGCTTGCCCATATCCCTGTATACCTCCTGGGGCCATTGCATATTTCTTCTTCTCCTCCAAAGGCTGCATGAAAAATTCCATTGCCAACTTCTCCATCTCCTTTAGTAAGCTTAAGTCAACTCCATGATTTATTAACTGCATCCATAGATCAATGAAATGTATGGATCGACCCTTTAACGGAGAATTATATTCCTTAAGTAAGACTAAACATAAAAGTGCAAAAATAGGACAATCATTTCTTTCTTTTGACTCATTCACTCCTAATTAGGGAAGATTTGTGCTTTTAATAGAACAAAAAACGGAGTAACTCTTATTTTGAGAATAAAACATCTCTATTATACTCCTATTTGCGTGCGTACTTTATCTATATTTTACTCTTATTTGTATCAATTTTGTATCTTTCTTTGACTTTTAATTGTGTTCCAGCCGTCCTAGCTCCGATCTAGATTACTAGATCGGACCAGGACTAATTGATTTTTTTACGAGGTACAAATATACCCTTAAACTAAATGTGAGAGTCACATATCTGCTGCAACTTTCACTCCAAACAATTGTAGTTGAAAGAATCCCCACTGTTATTAGAAAGAGAGAGGTTGGATATTTCAACCTCTTAAATTAGAAAGACTTGAGAATGAAAGAGTTGTTAGTTACTTGAAAGAATCCCCACTGTTCACAAGCAAGAGAGAGGTTGGACATTTCAGCAAGGAACTGGGGTGAATTCTTGTCCAATGTCAAGAGCTTGTGCAAGTCAACTACAGGGATCTTGAGGTGGTTGTCACATGAAGAAGGGGTGAGGATTGGCCTTTCTGTCAGGTCTTTGACAAACCTTTCAGGAATAGAGGATGAATGTTTCTTTCTCACCTCTTGGACATCATCTATATGCCCAACCTTAACAGGTCCCCTACTTAGCAGTGGAGCAGCCATTGAGCTATCTACAGTTCTAATGGTTTTAAGCTTTCTTTGGTGTTGATCAATCTTGTAACAAGTAAGGAAGAAACTGATAGTGTATGGATTCAAATATGGCACAAGGGTGATTCCCATTTATAGGGAAGGTGCATGATATAATAAGATAGAAGTAGAGGTGACAAACTAAGCAGTTTGCTAAGCTTGAAGTGTGTAGTGGGACCTCCTTGTCTAAGCTTTCTTTCTTTTTAAAATCTCCCACTTATTGTATAAAAAATAAAAATATTACGCCGTCCCTCCAAATAAGATTGTCTCATTTTTCATTTTAGTTTGTGTCATTACAATGGTCTCATACCAAAATTGATAATGTCAGTCATAGTTGCAAATCATTAGTATTATATCATTAGTATTATGTCGTTAACATTTTAATCTAATGTCTTATTAATTACTCCGTACATATTACGTAGTATTACTTTGTTATTATTACTAGCTACCAATATCATGTGTAGTATATCAAGGCTTAAAGATTCATGGGATGAGAGTCAAATTAGACACCATGGTTACATGAGAATCTCATATTGGCAAGTCAGGTTTTAAATGGATCAAATCGGACAATATAGTTACATATATATGAATCTCATTATAGCCACCAAGGTTTCATGATAATTCATAGTTTTTGGACACTCACGATTCTCTTCTTCCTTTAATAAAAATTGTTAGTCTTATTTTTCCTTTTTTGGTAAAAATAAACTAATTTAATTGATGTATATAATTTTGGAATATTCAATTTGAGGTTTTAGAATATATAATTTGATTTTTATTAATAACTTCTTGTGTTTAACAAGTTAAAAAATGTATTTATGACCTTTCATTCATATGATTTTTATGGAATTTTAGGAAATGTCGCTTTGTTAAATTTATTTAACAATATTAAAGAAGTTAATTACATTATAATAGATCTTTCTAATCGGAACATCTAATTATATATTCTAAAACTAAACACACGAATTAAGTTATTTTTATCTTTTAGGTACATTAAACAAAGGAAAAAAATAATATTTATAGCTTTCAAATGTGAAAAATCTTTGGTGAGTGTTCAAAAATGATCGAAAAAACGTTAAATTTGATTCATTTGAAATTTTAGTATCTAAGATGAGATACGCATGTAATCATAGTGTGCAATTTGGTCCATTTAAAAGTTTAATGTCCAATATGAGATTCACATGTAACTATAGTGTCCAATTTGACCCTTATATGACCAAATTATTACATATGTGTTGTTTTGTTACATAGTATTTCATATTTAGCTCGTGTGTAACAAGTTTTTCAAGATGGGAAAGCAAAAATGATAAGTAACTTAAATTTGTAAAACTTAATCATGTAATAACTAATAGACAATAAGTTTACTCTGTCTGGTGACGGCACAGTTAAATAATCACTAACAATATTGCAATACTACAACTAACATTAATAGTTAAGGATTATATTTAAAAAAGTAACATGAAATATTATATTGAACCAATTCGTCCACGTTTTTGACAACTTTTGATATATGACTATTGTTTTTTCCCGACTCCCGATCCCGATCCCGACAATCCCGATCTCGATATTCCCGATCCTGACAATCCCGATCCCGACTAGTCGGGAATTTTTCCCGATCCCGACTAAGTCGGGACGGGACCGGGATATTTTTTTTGAAAAAAGTCGGGATCGGGAAAATCCCGACATCCGGACACTATATATATACATATATAATTATATATGAATATATATAAAAATGAATATACATTTACAAAAAATGAATATGTATCTAAATATTAGCATATCTTTTTTTACTTACTTATTCCTTACATAGATTAACCTTTTATATTACAATATCAAACTTCTAAAACTATTCGACATTTGTCCCAAACTGAATATTATGGATCCTAACTAAATAGAGATTATTCTTGATCTCGACAATCTAAATCACAACAATAGTACAATTTTTGCGTTTTTGATGAACTCTTTAAAAAATCATAATTGAGACTAAAATTTCTTTCTTTAGTAAATAATCTTAATATGTATATATACATTATATTCATGGGTCACAAAGTTTCTCAATGAGTCTACTTAGTTTTGAATTTTAAAATAATATACGTTATCACATCCTTCTTTTAGTGAATTTTTATATAATTTTTGAAGTAAGTATCACTAAGCCTTGATAGCTTATTCAAAAATTATACTATTAATTAATTGAAGTTATAAAAAAAAATTATTCTAAAAGTACGTACTACTGTGAATTTGAGATGATAATTATGACTATAAATTTTATAAGTGGATGATGATAATATGGTATACTAATGACCAAAGAATAATATTGAAACCACTAAATATCAAAGTTAGTGTCTGACTAAAGAAATTACATAATTTCATGTTTGATACATCATTGTCGGGATTAAGCGGGATTCCCGATCGGGAACCGACTTAATCGGGATTTTAATGTCGGGATCCCGACTTAATCGGGACGTGATACGGGAACCTCTTGTATTTTGAATCATGATCGGGATTTTGGCAATCGGGATCGGGATCATCCCGATCCCACCCCTACAAGAAACATTTGTGAAATATCAAAAGTGAACAAAATAAAATCCAAGATTCGGGATCTGGAATTCGGATTAAATGTGAAATTGACATAAAGTGCATAGTATTAAAAGTGTAACTAGAAGGGAGATATATTGATCGCAAAATTGAATAGATACTTCCAAAACGAAAGTATGATGTTTTACCTTAAAATCCAAGGACAATAAAGATAATAGTTAGTGAATGAAGCAAAAACAACGGCTCCCTTCTCATAGCAAAACGTCAAGGAAACTCCTGCCCACTTTTTTCTATTCTTTAATGGGGAAAATTCCCCACCGTTTATGGTATTATTATCATGGTATTATATTGTGGTTGAGCCGCAAGCCCGCAACGGCTGAGGTTTAATTACATCATGTGAGCTTTACAAAAAAAATGTTTAAATAAAACTAAAATGTAAACACAGTCTATATTGTGCACAGAGAAATTACCCAAAATAGGACTAAAAACATTTATATATTTTAAAATAGGACTATCATGTTTTTATTTCCAAAATAGGACTAATTACTGTCATATTTTGGCAGTATCAGACTTTAAACATGGCAGCATTTTTAAAACCTGGCAACAATTACTTCTATTTTGGGAATAAAAAACATGATAGTCCTATTTAGAAATTTTCAAACTTTTTTACTCTTATTTTAAGAATTTTCCTATTGTATAAATATAGTCACCAATGTTTTGTATTGACGAAGTTTTCTAACCTATTATAGTATCTGTTTAATGTTAAAGTCAACATCCTTGAACTAGGATGAGATTCAAACCTATGACTTTCTCTTTGAGAGTGTCACGGTGATGCCATGAGACCATAAGGTACTTGACAGTCACCAATGTTTCTTATGCTTTAGTTGCTAATTGTGAAATTTTATACTTTCAATATGATTAAATAAGTCTTATTTTGAGAATATAATATGGTTAGTCATATTTGTGCATTTCATGTGTGTTCTAATCCCATTTGTACTGATTACTCAAAAACGTTGATAAATCCATTGTTTTATAAAGTTGTTTGGTAATCCATATTTTCAGCTTATCATGATTATTAATCAAATTATTTATCAAACAAGTAATTTTTTTATTCACATGCTGAATTGTGTAATAATCAAAATAATTAATGTTATACGGAGTAGTTATTTTTTTTACCAAATTGACTGATGTTATTATGGAGTGATAAAATGTTTTTTAAATAAGGAGTATAATGTTTCTATCAATTTAGTCTGTTCAATCAACATTTCGATCAATTTTAACGGATTGACCCAATTTTAATTTTTGCCAACAGTACAATGTAATTGGGAGTTGGGACGCTTCTCCGGTCAATCTTTGTATTATTCCTGTTGTCAATTTTCTGCTCTAAAATGGGATACCCCTTTGAAAATTGAACAAGGACAGAGGCTAGCCGGCCCCTACCACATTACCTTTTTCGAGTTGGAATATTCTTTTTTTATAGTCCAGACCCAATAGCGGTCCAGTTGTAAATGGGCCTCCCAAGCTCAAGGTTTGGGAGCCCAGCCCATATTTTTCCTATAAATACTTCCTTTGGAGGTAGTTATAGGGATTACAAAATCATTCTATTGAAGCATTTACTTGCACTTCTCTCTCTAGTTCTCACTTCTCTCTAGATATATACTCTATCAGATATCATTCAAAAATAACGAGAATATTTTTAGTAGTAATTTTGATCGGTATATAATATAATGAGATTATTGATTATAATTGCATATTATCTCTGTAAAAACTATGATATTACCGGTGTATTAGTTTTAATATGAAGTATTTCATTATTATGTTGTCATTTAAATGTGTTAATTATTAACTAAAATGTACGGAGTACTACGTAAATGATACTCCCTCCGTCCCGAATTAATCGTCCCATTTGACTTTTCACGGTTATTAAGAAATTAATTTGACTTCACACTGTAACGACATTGTTTGGCACTGTAGCGACATTGTTTGACACTGTAGCGACATTGTTTGACACTGTAGCGACACTGTTTGGCACTGTTTTGCAGTGTTTGACACTGTTTTGTATAGATTTGTTTGTCAAATAAGGAAAGTTTCAAAATGGAACAATTATTTCGAGACGGACCGAAAAGGAAAGTGAGACAATTATTTCGGGACGGAGGGAGTAACATTTAGTTGGGGCGCGCAAAAGAGATGAGTGGAAACCTTAATTTGAGACGCGAGGAGTACTTTCTATGCCTCATTGGACTATACTACCTTTCTTTTTTTTGGATTGTCTAAAAACTTTCTATTACCATTAATTTTATACCGTACGTTGCACAAATAACGAACCAATTTATTTTTTCTCGAAAGTAATTTGCCTCATTAGTAACATGTATATGCGTAGTTATTTTATATAAATTGAAATCATAATATGAAATTGAAATATCAATATGTTATCTCTGTCCTGTTAAGATTGTCTCATCTTTCTTATTTTAATTTGTCACGAAGATTGTCTTATACGAAATTTGGTAAAGTTAATTGTGTGATTCTAGATCATTTTTTACTTTATTCTTGTTTCATGAATTCA